GGCTCGCAATTGGGTTTCTCAAAGCGACCGTATCCGCCCCGTGACGTCACGAGCGCCAGGTTCCCAGCAACGAGCCGTCTACACACGACTCTGTTTTCCTCGCTGCAGCTCCGGCGCAGATTCCCTCGCCGTCCGCGTGTCATCGGCAAGTGGATGAAATGAGAATTAATGTAACCGAGTCCCGTTCGACTTCCTTTCCGCACGGCGCCGACGCGACCGTTCGAATCCGGCAACGGGAGAGTGCCTGCCCGCGAAATCTCCGTCCGTTCGCGCGATTAATAACCGCTAAACTAGGGCCATTAACCGGGCAGTTTCGAAAGCGCGATCGCTGCTCGGTACGCGACCGCAATTACCGGCATCGGGCACGAGTGATTTCGTTCGTTAGCTGCCGTATCGGTTACGCGTTATTGCTGGATTCCCCGAGTGTTCGACCGGGTTCGTCGGCGGATCCCTCGATCGGCGCCGGTTGATGTATGCGTCGCAGATTGAGACCGTTCGCTCGGGATATAGCGACGTTTAACCGTCCGCTAACGGAATAGGATCATTTTAATACATAAGGGACCGGCGTTGCTAGTGGACGAGCGTGAATGCGCTTCCACGACGAACGAACGAGGCGTTTGGTTTGAAAGTGACAAGTCGATTTTCTTCAACCCTTTGCACTTTGCCTTTCAGTCGCCATTTGCTTTGACCCAAGAAAATGGTAGAATTTAAAATTCAATGTTAAATTTTACTTAATGCATCAACATATGGAACGTCGAAATAAAATAGTTCTGTTACTTAATTTATGCGGGGTATTGTTTCATATTAATTGTAAAACATACCATTGATATTTCATCAGAAAATAATGAATATTTGTTGTGAAAAATATTCTCGAGTACTAAGGTTAAATCAATTTGACGGTTGTGACAATTTAATTCCGAGGTATCTTACTATTCTCACGCGACTTTACGGTTTATTCAATGAACTTAGGCTAGTTTCGAAAGCGATTCAAATTACTGCTAACAATGATTGATTATGCCTGTGAAGAGCGCTGGATTCTCAGACTCTGAATGCTGAGCCTAGAAACCGCACGTCATGTAACTTGGATAGCATTATGCGCTTTCATTCTATATTTGTTACTCGTAGTGAGGAAACAAAGGATTTCTAACAGAGAATTGACAGTAAATTGAAGAGTTTCAGTGTTAACCCTTTGCGGTCCGAAGTGCTCTTGGTTTCTCACTTGGAGGTTCACGTCGACGTTAGTTCATTCAATGTCAGCTTAACCCTTTGCACTCGACAATATTTTTCATTACAAGAATTAATCATTTTCTCACTAAATATTAACAATATTTTTCGCAACTAACGCGATTGATTATCTTCTATAAATTAGGAGACAGAACTATTTTATTTCGATATTTCATGTGTCGATACGCTACACAAGGTTCAATAAATTCAAAATTTTATACGTTTGCTGCGTTAAATCAGGTGGCGACTGATAGATGCCTCTCGAGTGCAAAGGGTTAAAGCTTGAGTATCTTTTCTGCTGAGATGATTGCTTCCAGCGCATCGTCGCCAGACAGTGTTTAAGAAACGATTATCCGCGGTAACGTACAATTAACGCTGGGACGCGTACGCGTACGAATATCTGGGCATTAATTAAAATGTTCGCCGGTCGGACGCTAATGGAACGGTAAAGACCTCACCCTTAACGATCATCCCTCTGGCACCGCGCGCCGCTAGAAACGTCAAATGAATCAGCGAACCGTTACCGTTGCTCTCTCTCTCTCTCTCTCCCTCCATTTTACAGGGAAAATTTATTTAACCGTTTAACCGCATTATTCGGCGACGTGTTCCCTCGTTCGCCCGGAATTTCCTGCGCGGTAATTCAACGCCATTGATTACGCGAATACACGTGATGCGCGGTATAGTGTTCCCTGGCACGCCGACATCTGACGGAAGGAGAATGCTGCAATTTTATATATTGTTATAATTTCGGGGAAACGCTAATTCGAATCATTCGCAGCTCCGCGGAGAAGCAATTTTTGTTTCGTTAACTCGTCGAGCCTTCCTGTAGTTTCAGAGGAATTTAGCTCCAGGGAAGCTATAAAACTCGATTTTTAGCACCGACACATTCCTAACGTGATTAAATTAACGTTCCACGGGCAGAATACGAGCACACTTGGAAAATGTTAGTAACATCGTCCTGATTTGATTAACAGCTAAACTCGCGATGAAAATTTCAATCTGAATCTAAATACGAACGTTGTCTTATTTCAACTCTAAATTAACAACTATCATGTTCTTATGAACACAGAGCCTGCATAATCTATGTAATTACGCTCAAGATAGTCGCGAGGAACGTGTTTCAACGAGTTAATGCTTGAAACGAGTAAGCCGCCTGAATTCACTTAGCAACCTACTACTTATAATATTCTTGCCCACCCGCCGCTAATAATCCCCGTCAAAGAAAATTGCCAGGATAAAAATCCCTCGCGCCCGGAACAGTCTCGGTCGATTAACGCTCGGTTTCCGAGGATGTCGGTCTAACAAGGATCGCCTTTAGCGGTAAGTTAATCGCATCTCATCGCGAGACTCTAAGCTAAACGCTCCGGTGCTTAATTTAAGAGGCGGCGGCACGATCCGCTCGAACGAGTTGCGGCGACCGGGACTTTTGCTCGCCGGAGACGCCGGCCGTAAGACGCGGCGCGAAGTTTCGTGGGTACCTCGGTTGTCCCCGTGAACCATGAACTGCGGGGGAACTTGACTGGAAGCAAAACCATTCCCTAAATGATAGCACGAGTGGGTGGCTGTTGCGGCTGCACGAAAGCTGAGGCTGCCGCCGCCGAACCCTTGACGATGAGGGTGTTTAATTCCCTCTAACCTACCCGACCAATGATGCGGTCGGACCCATCATGCTGGCAATACCGGAATATTGTAACTGCATCTGCGGCGCGCATTAAGGTTAACCGTCTTGCACATTGTTTCGCTTAGACGTCCGAGTTTTAGAAATGGCTGCGACGATTAGCGCGATTGCGGGGAATTGCCACTCTATGTTGTGGATACTAATAATACGATGTGCAATCTCTCGGAGCTAGTGTAATAGTACTGTCTAAATAATATTAATTTAGATTCTCGTCTTCTTATAATAAGATGACGAGAAATCAAATGTAATCTTCACTTTGTGTCGCGTCGCGAAATCGTTTTGAGAGGGCCATTGACGAAACCTCCTGCGAGGCATATTAGAGCCCTGGGTATTTTTACCATAGCAGGAATGAAAGCCCAAGGAACCGTTTAGAATAGACTATTTTCAGTTTCTTCAGGCATTCATTATAGTACTGAAATGAAACTATTTTGAAAATTATTTCGAATACTCAATGCTTCGAAGATATCAATAATTGCTAAACTAAAAAATCGAAACCAGTCATTTTGACTGGTACCCAAAGGTTTATAAAAACCCACGCGAGATACGGAGACGATAGATGTACAAGATAGATTCAAGCTGGACGAACGAGACGGAGTATACAGACGTTGTAGACACTCGCGTTGACGAGTATTACCGAATTCTCTTAATAAACAGCAAGTTATTTCCACTGAAGTAAATATTAATACGGTCCACTTCCAATCAGTCGCGCAATGTTAAGTCGGCGTGCGACGTACGGGTTTCACTATTAAAATGTCGAAATAGAAAACGCGTACTCGACACTTTGTGAGAACATCGGGGCAAGTGAGAGCAAGGCAGCCTGATCCACAGCAGAAGAATACTACCAATTGACCCAGTTTAGAATTCTTATTCTGCATATATTTCAATTACGAAAGCAATTCTGTGGGAATGGATGTATTTGAACGAGCGTGCAGTAGATGAATGACGCGACTGTGTGTGAGCGCGTTTTGAATGAATGTTCAAGGCATTGGAGTATTCTAGAGTATATTGATTTTCTCTATATGTTGATAATGTTCGTTTCTTTATGAATACAGAATATTCCAAATATATGTGAAGTTAACCCTTTGCAATCCGTTGGCTCTGCTATGGAAACATAATTTCTGTCACAGATGTCATGTTACATTAATCTCAAGTTGTAAAATTCTTCTTCCTGTTCGAATATGGGAAATCGACAGAACAAATTGAAAGATGTGAATCCATGTATACTTGTAATTTTCCTTTTTCAAAACGAAATTTTAGGTTCTTTAACGCTTCTCTATAGAAATGAACTATTAATTCTAACTTCCGATTTCAATGGTACATAAATAGAGAAATGGAAGATACTCGCAAAAATTGTTATTCTACAGATGCAAATCATTCCGTACAACACTACTCAACAGATAATCTTCAATTTTTATCACGCGAATAGTCGAAATTTCGTGGTTCCGTCCACAGAAGGCCGCACGGTGTGCCGTGACCTACTGGCTTTGGACGCGGTCGCACGCGCAACCCCTCGGGGTGGAGGGTGACGAGCCTAACCTCAAAAAAGGGTGCTCCGGGGCGGCCGTTTCCACGACTCGTTCCTCTAGACCTGCGCCTCGGCCTCTTTCCCACCCCTTCGCGCCGCCATTCCGCCCCTGCCATTCTCTTCGGGGCCACATTTCCCGTCCGACTCTCCCGGCTTCCACTTTCAACAATTTTTTCTCCTGCAGCGACCTCGCATTGTTCGAACGCCGCGGAACTTTTCCATCCCGTTCTTATTCCCCGGATTCTCGGATCTTCCACTTGTTTCGCGAACTTCGCGGGACACCGGGTTGAAATATGACTCGAGACTCGCGCCGGGTAGCCATTCCACCATTGACTTATCGCTCGGACCGGAGAGAAATGGGTGTTCGCTGTTTGTTTGATTGGAAATTTGATAGCGCGAGCAACGGGCTCGAACGATCCATTAGACTTCTTTCGCGACGGGTCGGTTCAAAACGAGTTTTGAGCTTCGAGAAAAATTAACTCGGTTTCGCGGATCGGTTCCTTCCCGCGTGCAGCACGAGCGAGTGAAATTTCGCTAAAAAGCGTCGCCTAAGATGAAATATTCAGGACTCACCGTTCCGTTGACGGCGCCAGACGCTCTCCGCGCGACTTCCTCCTCCTTTCACCAAGTTAACCTGTAACAGGATCGAAGAGTTATTTATTGGATTACGAGTCACTCTCGATGACACGTCGATATCCGTTCGCGCTAAGCGGCGCGATCGCGCTTCTATGTTACGCTGTCTAAAAATTACCGTCCGATTACCTGCTTAACCCCTTGCCGTACATTGACGAGTGAGACTCGTGATGACGATTTCGGGATTAGTTTAATAAACTTATATAAATAAAATTAAAAAAAAATTTAATACAACTTATTTCATTGAAAAAATCAATACAGTTCATAAGCGAAATACGACCGAAATTTCCGTGGCACGGAACGTGTTAATTACAACTTAATTCAATTCATACTGATCCAATTCACAAGTTCCTCTAACTTACCCGAACAAATCACCGATTCATCAAAGGCTCCGCCGCGAATGGTCCATCGAAAACTAAACACCGTTCCTCCAACGACCAGAAACCGAGGCAGTGATCCAATCGCTCGAGTGGCCTCGAGGACTCGTTCACGACTCGTTCACTTTCGGACAACGCGGAACACTTTGTTATAAACCGTTCTCCAGCGAATCGACGCGGACGGAACAGCCCTCGTGATAATCGAGTGTCTCGGAATCGCAGAATCGATCGCACTCGCGTTTATCATTCGCCCCACTGCCGGAAGCGCAACGTGTCGTTTCAATCTGCTACGCTAAAACGGGATCGTCGGAGATGAGTCGGCGGTTCGTTGCTCGTGTCCGCGAGGCAAGCAATTAACCGATAACGTCTTCCGATCTATTGTGCTAAGATCGAACCGGTCCGGCTAACGAGACGCGTCAATCGCCGGAGGAGAAAGAACAGGAAAAAAAGAAGTTCGCAGCGTATCCCCGACAATAGCCGGCCGGGTAATCGCGGCGGAGGATTACGCGACGGGCTAAAAATTCCTTCGGCTAATTAGAATAATTACCAGACAAAGTTACCGCGCGATGAAAGCGAAGTCACAATGGAACAATGCAACATGTTGCAAGTAGCCTGTATCGCCGTCGGCTCCGTCGAACGTTCCGCCCCGTCCCCGGAACTGGAACTCCGCGCCGCGCCGCGAGCGTAGCTAACAGTGCCATTTGAATTACACAATACTTAATGGCCCCGATCGTTACCGAACTAAGTTTCCCCGTTGCTGAACGCTATCGCCGGGACGCACGGGCCCGTTTTCAGCAGATAAACGTAAAATTTCGACCGGCGAGAACACGGCTCCAATTAGTATTATCCCGGCGCAGTAAACACGGAACGACCCGTCGAAATGCGAGCCGTTCGTCGCGAATTCTACGAAGTCTTCTACCGGCCGACCTCTAATCCTCTCGAGGACTGCGAAGATACTAACAGTTCGTCGCTCCTTACGAATTGATCGCTTCCAGGGAACTACGCGAGTATAATCCCTTGTTTACCAACGTCGCTCGGAGAGTTTCGAGAAATTTCATGATCACTGCGTATAGACAATTTCGATATTATTTCTACACGGCGAAGATAGAATACTCAAGACGATAAGTATTATAGTGTTACTATGTTATAGATAGTGAAAGAGTTGATCTTGAGTAATCGAGGACTAGGAATAAATTTATGTATCTAATAAAATATGGAAACACGGACCCTCTGCTCTTTACATAACGAAAATTGAAGATTATCAATCTATTTCTAAGTAGTCCTATACAAAATGATGTTCATTTCGAAAATACAATCGCGTATCCAATCAGTTTCTTGAATAATTTCGCAGAGAAACTTCTGTTGTCTCTTCAACCCTTTGCACTCGAGAATATTTTTCTCAAATATTCATTATTTCCTGATGAAATATCAATGATATGTTTCACAACTAACATAAATACCTTGTATAAATAAAGTGACAGAACTAGTTTACATCAATGTTCCATTTGTCGATACATAATATAAAACTTGACACTAAATTCTAAATTTGATTATTTCGTTCGGTCAAATCAAATGCCGATTGAAAGGCGCATCGAAGTTGCATCGATCGTAGCTAAGAAATAAATCGAGCTCTTAAAAATACCTTAACCTACGCTAAAAATTCCAGATACCACAGTATCGATCACAAGAAACATTTCTACTCTACGAATATTGTACGGTCCCCATCCGACGTCAGAAGTTCACCGTTCGAAAGAGGGATGAGCAGCGCTTAATCTAGTCGGGGGACACCCGACGCGGAATCGATCGACGGGAATGGGATACGGGCCGGAAGACTAATGAAACCACCTACCGAAAGACTAATGGACCTCCTGGAAGACAGTGCCGAGGACCATAGGACTCCGACAAATCGCCTAACCCCCTATGTCGGGGCTACGCCGGCAGCATCTGGGGACGCGGCTCGACCGAACGGATCCGGCGCCCCCGCCGGGGAATTTTTCATCGGGCGGATTAACGGACGCCGCCGGTTAATAAAGCGAAAACGAAAGAACGCCACAGGTGCGTCCGGAGAGTTTCCCGCGTTCGAGTCGGCGCTCCCGCTGCAGCCATAACTCAGCTCGTTCCGCGAGCGCGGCCGTATTTTAATACACCGATAATTTAATTTCCCCTTCTGGTTAGGAGACGATCCCGCGATAACGCGGCGCGGGAGGGAATCGACGATATCAGTCGCGACGTAATTGATAAACACGGGGCAAGTTCGTTGCACGGGGGGAATTTATTCTCGGTAAATTCTATGGGCAACTCGGAGGATGGAAGTTCGCCTGCTTTCGATCCATTGAAATCGAGCGGGGATTTCAACGGGGATGGATCTGCTCCCGACGTGTCTTGATCGGTTAAAAGTTTCGGAAACTGGATGGGCCTCCGTTCTTGGTCGGTTAACCGGATGCCAGGGGAGCGCCGCCCGCTCCGGAGGAAATTAAGACCGCCGTAGGTTGGCTAAATAGCGGGGGCGAGGTCGGGTACACTTTGCGTCTATGGTTAATACAGTTAATGCGAGGTAGAAGGTATCGCTGGCAGAAGTCTGCAGCTTCGAGCCGGTCGTTAACGGAGCCCGCTGGTCTGGAAAGTTAACGGTCGATTCTATTTACATATTTTTCTGTTCGTACCGTTAACCCCTTGTCCTGCGACGAGTGAGACGCGCTGAAGATTTTCAGCGTGGTTCAACGAATATATATTACTCGGTTCATTCGAATTCAAAGTAAATATTATTAGTCTACAATCAACTGTTACACTTAAAAGTAAATACAGGTAACATACTAGAATTTTTCTCTTTTCCCAATAAATTAGTAACGACAAAGTAGCCGTGTCGATCAGAGTTCAGAAAGAAATCATAGGCCAACTCGTCAGAATGCCGACAGTCGTCCGCAAAGGGTCAAATTGGTACTGTCTGCTTATGTTTGAAATTGTTTGCGACCGAACTAGTACACTCTAGTGAGAGTTAAATATGAAATTCAATATTCTTCTAGTTGTTCAATTTATTTCACTTGATCCCAGTACAACGATGAATAGACGAAGCAAAATGATACATCAATTACTCAAACAATATAAGAAATCAAACTACGAGCTGATCCCTTGTTTCAGTAATTAACCCCTTGCCCTACAACGAATGAGACAAATAGCAAGAGATCAATGCATACTTTTCTTTCTCTATTATTTAAGCATCCATCGTGTAATTTGGTCGAATCTGAAGGTTTCGTGTTCCTTGAAGAATTCCTCCGCAAAGGGTTGAAGTTCTCAACCACCGGTGGCGGTCCAGAGGAGCGGTCTAATCATAGAGATTCGTTTCGAAAGGATAAGCCAAGGATTAAGGCAATCTGCCGGGATGCCCGCTCGCTCGATGAACCCTCTGACCAGAATTTTCGTTCGGTTCGGTCGCGATCGGGCGAGTTCGCCGCGGCCGCATTGGTCCGGGTTCCTCGCGGCCGGCAAAGACGAGGAAGCGATTCCGTCGCTTTAACGGCCGAGCGCGCTGGCTGCATTCGAATGGCTGCGGAAGCGTTCCCGGGGACTGACCACCGTGACGGTGTTTGGGTTATTTCGCTCGGAGAAAACCGGCGAGACCGCGTGCTCCCGGCTCGCAGCTTCGACCGCCGCGCGAAGAACCGGAACGGGGTGTAGTTGGAAAATCCCGTTTCTCGGGCAACTTTGCCCGCAACTCCTGCCTGAAGGTGGAACTGCTTGAAAATGAAACAGCCGGATCGCGAGCCGCGCAACAACGTTCCGTTTGATAATTTATGAAATTTACCACCGCGGAGAGTGGCTGAATTTTCTTACCGACGACCGCGCGACGACGATAGAAATACCGTCTCCTTTGTCCGCTGCGTCGCGAACTTCTCTAATTACCTTCGTACATTTCTATGGTAATGGGATTCTTTTCCTAACCCGCGGGGAACCGAGAGGAATTATGTTTTCCTTGAGACTACCTGGCAGATCGAAATAACCTATTCTTCGCTTCTTTTTGTAATTAAAGAGATCTTTCTCTGACCACTTGCGCTGGAAATGAATTCCGAAATTTGGCAGTCGATGAATGTTTTTACCTATTGTACACTGATATTTACACTAATTTGGTTTGTAATCATTCTCTATAGAGTGATACATTTCTACATACTTAATGCAACAAGATTATCAATGTGTGACAGACATCATTGAGAATGTTCGGATAGAAACGTCTCGACGTGACACGTCTTTCCAGCGCAAGTGGTTAAGGAAACTGATCCAGCAATACTAAAGAATTCTAAAACCAATAATCTTAATAGATGCGTTCTCAACACGTTGAATGCCGCACAATTTCATGGCATAAAATACACAAAATGGAAAATATTTCTATATCATAAATAATGCTACCTAATGAGGTAACGTTCAGCTAGATGGACGTGCAATTATAGTAATGCAATTTAATCGAATGATTTAGTATTTGATTATTTTCGAATAATCATCGTTTAATTGAGCGAACTAAAGTCGATTCGATCGGGGGTCACCGGTGACCCCTATGGCATTCAACGTGTTAACGTTTCTATAGAGGAATTTCGAACAGTCCAACTGCTCTAGTTTTGTGAATTCTTCTGTGCGTCCGATAGTGCACATTGAAGATTCGAGAGATGAGACAGCTTGTGTATCGATTGAACGCATGTATCTTCAATTAATTATGTATTTCGTGCACCATTGAAGGCGTATTCTTCGATCGATCGAGCCTCATTGAAAGCAGCTTAATCGCGCGGGTAAAGGCTCTATCGTCGTCGGAACGCGTTATCCGCAATTAAACGGCCCTTCATCGAGCAGATTCCCCCGTTAATAGTCTACTCGGACTTCATGAAACGGCGGTCATTAATGCGTATCTAGCCGGCGTAGAGTCATCGGTTGCAATGAACGTCGATCATTACAGGCCGAGATTGTAAACGGAGGTGTCTTCCATTAGCTCGATACTGTCCGGCCGCGTCACGTCGCTGCGGGCGGCGTCCCGTTCCGTCGGTGCCGCCGAAATAACGAGGTTAATTAGTCGAGCGCGTCGAGTAAGGTCTACTCGAGAACCTTCTATTACCGGCGTCAGCTGCGAATCCTATTATAGCGTTCCGCGACTCGTCCTTCGCCCTTCCCATATCCTATCCGCTCGAATCGCCGACAATTAGATCACTTGATGCCGGAATATTCCGTCGGCGTTCGGTCGCCGGGTCGCCGCGTTTGGATAAACGGTTACGTCTCGCCGCGTGTAAATTCGGTAACGAATTTAATTACCGGCTCGAGACAGTTCGGTCTTCGAGATCTGTTATTGTTCTATCTCGGGCAGTAGATGACGAGTTGCTTCGATTGCCTACATCTTTCACGCTTTCGCAGCTCTTCGTTGATTCGTGGGTGTCGTCGGCATTGAAAACGACTGTTGATATTCAGGTGTTTGTGAGAAATTTGCTTGTACGGAATACTCAAAGCAGTTTTCACAGTATTTCTTGAGATAACTCGTCCATAGTAATTCTATCTCTATTCACTTGTATTTACCTACTTCTGTTTACAATCTACTTTTCTGCCCAGTGTAAGGTAAATTGATACCTCCGTTAATCGAACGTAACATCAAACCATACGTGTCTTCTAAAGTGACAAAGCAAATGCTTTTCGAACAGTCGCTAATGGTTACAGCTAGTGATCTATCTTGCAGAAGAGCACAGTAATACGTGAATACGTTTGTTTTCATTTCATTGATAATGATTTTGTCCTGAGTAATGCTGACATTGACACATGCTATGTGTTCGTGTGAATGTTCGAAGGCACGAACTAAAGTACAAATAAAACGATCACACGTTTCCTCCATTTTCCTGCAAGTTCGACCTTGAATGACCTCGAGTCATAGGTCGTTGAATTCGTCTCAAAACGCACCATTTGACGGTGGATGAAAA